CATCATTTACTTTGTTGAATGTCACTTTTGTCTGATGCTGTCCACAGGTTGAAAGATCTGAATGATGGTAGACTGTAGGGCTGAAAAATGGAAGGGTAATGATGAAAGAAAGCATAGTTGCCTAAATGGAATACTCTCAGTTTCTGCGACACGTTACAGGTTGAAATAACAAACCCTGACTGAATAAATTCAGACATTAGACAAACAGGCATACCTTTTAAACACGTTTCATTTCTTCTAATCCCATGATGCTGCTTAGGTGGAGGACAATCAAATCTCATTTGTGAAGATTTCTCCTCTCCTCCAGCTGGACTGTAATAAGACTCTCAAGAATTAATCTGACTGGAAAAAAACATTGCTGATGAAGAGTCAAGGTATTTGTTTCATTGTAATGCAGAGAGGGACTATCGTGATTCCAAATCCAAATGTTAATATATACTAGTTCTAATATCTGGTCTCTGAGTGAGCTGTAAGGCACCTGCTTACACAACTATGAATTTACACGAAACTAGTAGTCATGCTTTGCAGGGTGAATAAAAACTGTTCCTCAGTCTGTTGTGCTCTTAGTCTTAATGTTCTGAACCATCTATCCAATGGCAGTGGTTCAAACAAGTAGTGTCGGGGGGGATGGTCCCTGAAAATACTGCTGGCCTTCTTCTTCAGTTGTCCATCGTAGATTATGTCCATTGTCGGGGGCTCCATCCCAATAATGGGCTAAGCCACCTTCATCACATGGTGCAGTCATTTACGTTCAGAAGCTGTGCAGCTGGAATACCACACGGTGGCACAGTTAGTGAGGATGCTATCTATCATGCTCCTTTAGAAATTGGCAATTACTTTCTGTGGGAGGTGGGCAGCTTCAGCTTCCTGAGGAAAAACAGTCTTTGTTGGGCTTTTTTGACCAGCTGTGAGGTGTTGGAGGTCCATGTGAGCTGTCTTGACCCAATGACTCTAAGAAATTTAAGGTCATCAAATTATTAATCTTCAACACATTATATAAATATCACCGGGAATACCATAACAGAAGGATATATAAACAGAAAGATTACCAATCTTGCAAAGGTAAGAAATCCTTGAATCAAATGTTCAGCTCACACCTTGCAAGTGTTTGTCTTTTTGTCCAGAGATCCTCTTCTTCTCGGCTCAGTGAGAATCTGCTTGGTGACCATGTAGCTGTCAATCACAGTCTGTTGAAGCACCATAGGACATCTCGTAACCACGAGTGAACAGTTCTGATGGAAATGATCTGTTGAGAAAGTTATTTTCTTTTGCAAAGTTTCCTTTATCAGTCCTTACAGAACAGAATTATACTTTATGTCCACACTTTAGCCTAAGTCTTTGATTGCGGACACATTGTGGTCTAATATCCGACGCTGTTGAGTTTCATCTTCATCACAGTAGTTAATGGAGCATTATTTTGTAGTCTGGTTAAGAGTGATGAGCCATCTGACGTCTCTCATGCCCTCCAAGATGTTCTTATTAAGTCTTGATCTCATTGGTTTAATTTTCAGTAATAGTTTCGTATAAAATCAAACCACCATGTAAACAATCATTTATTTTGTTAAAAATCATCTTACTTGTAAGAACATTTTTAATAAAATCTCCATAAACAAGTTAATAACTCCGTTTGTTCCACAAGGAGAAATCACCCACCAAGACAACATTCCTGGAGATGGTGTAGTATAATTTCTGGTCATTACACTATGTCACACAGTAATGTCACTATGTACCTTTAATCTAACACTGAAAGACCCAACACCCTTTTTTCTCCCCATATCACCTCCACCTCACAACTATTCCCCTGAACCACCACATGCTTATTCCCCCACCTCACGTGAGGCTTATCCTTCAGCAAACCCCAAGGACGCCATGGCCAAGCTTCAACAAAAAAGGGCTTACTATGCACCCCTTCTGGTCAATCCGACTGATGAAATGAAGAAAATATATGAGGTAGTGCTCCGCCATGAGCGCAACAAGGCAAGGGCCTGTGTGACAACACGTCGTCGCACAGCTATCCTATATCACTATCTCTAGGTTAGATATGTATCATGATCATTAGTTGGTTTCTTACATCTAGCATTGATTCCTTGCGGTGTTCACTATTTTTGTTGTATGCTCACAATATACATCTCTCATGGTTCATGTCACACATTCACTATGCTCGTTTATGATTATTATGTCACTTATGTCACTAATCACCAATTTTGGCTGCTTAAATTTGACCTCTATGCCTCCATGTGCGCAGATCCCACTGTGAAATGTGGTTGAGTAATCGTAACAAAATTTGCTAATGATTACAATGATTACAATAAGTTTAAGAGATAAATTACAAATCAAACAATATACTCTATGTGTAACAATCAGTATGTATATCTTGTGTGAAGAAATAATAATCTTTTTAAAAAAGGGCAGTCTGACAAAATTGAAATATAATGGTGTCAAAAGTAAGCACAATATCTTTAAAAAAAATAGAAAGCTAGTTAAACAAAAGATAATGGTGTCAAGAATAAACAAACTGTTTAAAAGTAAAAGAGACATGCCTGGACATGTCTGGGTAAAACAGAAACTCTCCAGAGGAAAGTCCCCAAAAATGTTTGTGGATGATTCAAAGGCTAATTAAAGCAACCAATGAAATTACGACAGGTGTGGCCACGATGAAATGATGGACCAATAACATGCTAACAGGTGTGACCACGATAGAATGGTAAACCAATTAACTATTGACAGGTGTGGCCTCTAAAGAGTTTATAAGACTGCGCCACACCACTGTTAGTCAGAGTTCTTCTGGTGCAGCTCCGGCTCGCTACTGAATGCTCTCGGGTTTTTTGTCGACAATAAAACTCTGCTGCTTTTAATTTGACTTCTCCTGCTTTTTATTCAACTGAATTCTTGGACTTTTGGACCACGAGTGGAACTTAAGTTTTGTCCATCACAATGGCAGCAGAGACATTCTTAATGAAAGCATTTGCTAAAATCTATGGCACATAATCCACCATACTCTATACTTAAACAGTAATTTAGTTTAGACAGGATGAAGGTTTTGTCTGTGTTTATTCATGATTTATAATTTGTAATTTGTCTTTGACCTCACATTAGTTTCACTACACTACAGTAGATGGTGAAACCAAATTTTAAATTTCTTGTTTGAGTCAAATATTGAGATCTTGTCTTTTCTTCCCCAGTCCATAATCCTGTTTTGTCATGGTTTACTTTAGCAACGGATGCCTGCTCATATAGTGTAATTTTGTAGTTAAAACCTTCATCTCATCTTGGTTTTTGAGTATGGTATGGTAGGGTCATATCCTCTGCATAAGCAAGCAATTGCTGTTACTCACTGGGCATTTCCTACTAGGGTGTCTGAGGGAACTTTTGAAATTTATAGATCTGATCAAGGGCTGATCGCTATAATGTAGAGAGCAGCACTCAAGGGACCCATTTCAAAACGTTTTGTAAGGACCCCTCTAATATTTATACATACAATTGATTTGTGTACAGACATCTGATCAAATCGATAAAACTGATCTACTCTGCTTTAGATTTGTGTATCAAAGGTTGTCCCACATAGTACGACCTTTAATAGCCCATGTTTGTTCTTTATCTATAATTTCATCCAGTGTATAATTTAATCTATTCATAATTATCTTCTTTATATCTTTATAATCAGTATTCATTATAGTCAGATGTCTGTAATTATCAATATAAGAAACCTATTTCAAACAATAAACATGAAACACCTTGGTAACCCCATACAACCACTTTGTAGACCTTTGTTATACATGGACTATAGCAGGTTTATGAAATCAACCAGATAAAAATGATAAAACTCAGTCGGTAGGTGAGCTGTATGAGGGGACGTTCTCTACGAAGGAGTTCACAGTATCTAAATCAGTTTCTGCCACATATATCCCTAATAGCATCTCTTTTCATAGTGTTGTTTTATTTTATTTTGCTGTCTGAGTTTCTGACTGCTACTGCTGGGGACCTGTCTGTGTTTCAGGCTGCTGCCACTGTGATCCTGGCTGTACTTCAGGCTGCTGCTGCTGTGATTCGGGCTGAACTGTATTGTTTTTGTGCAGCTATTGGAGTTATCACCTGACTTCTAAGTAATTTAAATCTGTCTGCAATCCCAGTCCCAGTGTTTACTCTGACTGGCTACATAATTAGCATGAGAGATTTGTACTTTCTGTGAAAATGGGCAGTAGAAATTAAAGTGGTGAGCTGAAACCTGAATATAATGAATTCAAAAAAGTAAAGGAAACATTTAGAAGTATATAGAACATATTTCATGTAGCATTTATGGTTAATAAGTAAAGAGGCTGGTCACTACAGAGGCCTACTATTGCTATGCAGACATGAGAGTTGACACATTGAGCTCCTCTCCCCTCTCCTGGAAAGACACTACACTGAGCAGCAGAGAAAAATGACATATATCAACTTTTACATGTGTTGTTGGAAGATGAAACTACAGAACTACATAAGAAACAATGATCAGAATGTTAAAAACTGATGAACAAGAGGCAGTTACAGTAAAGTCTCTGCAAGTCTGAACAAGAATCAAAATAAACACTCAAAACATCACACATTTCAATTTCAATAATTGCACCAGGAGCCATGAGCCTGCAGATAATGAGCCACATGGGGCTTTTTGTCTGAACATGTGACATCCTGATTTAATTAATTTAAATGAAAATTTTGGAACAAAACCACACACAGCATATATGCCCAATAACGGTAGCATGCTAATAAAAAAATGTTTGCTTATATGATATTTTGCATAGCTTATGATGGTGTGCCTTGAAGGAGCACCATGGTCTTTGCGCATTGTACTTTCTAGTCGAATATGAATGTTGGCTCACAGACACACGAGCAGTATGGAGGCATGTTGTGGGTTTTTTCTGTTGTTTTATTACATCTGAAGACCTTGGCTGAAACACTGTTTTACCCCTGAAACTTTAATGAGTGAATTTTCACTTTTTGGTGAACTATCCCTTTAAACTTCCTGAGGATATTTGGTTTGAAGTTTTTCAGTTTGCTTCACTATTTACGAAGTGCAACCTAATCATCAGTCATATCTGTTTATACATCCATGGTATAGCAAACAGGAACTGTTAATAGCAATTTTGGCAAGTAATTTTCCAGAATGACAACAAATAGCTAAAAAAAAGGATTCATACCACAGAGTGTTTTTCTCTGAATGCATGACAAGATTAAAGGCTACTTGCTGTTTCTTGTAAAAATCTAAAATACTTTATAGGGAAAAATAACATACTGATACTTAAAGTAGAAAGACTCCAGAAAATCAGTGCTTCCAATCAAGAAACTTTGCTTTCAGACATGCACTGAACGCAGTTTCAACAGAGGAGGGGTATGTGTGAAAGCATATGTCTGAGAGTGAGGAGGTGATGAGGAGTTGATATAAAAGGCTTAAAGATGTGTGGTGGAAATCGGTCAATATATGGGTCGACGTTTTTTTTGTCTAAGAGAGAAAGTTTTATTAAAGCTTTCTGCAGAAAGGATCACACAGGCAGGGTAGATGCTGCAAGTGAGATGAAAAGTGAAGTCTCTGTGTGCGTATTTACGTAAGTGTTTGTGTGTATGTTATGCAAAAAGGCAAACTTTCCTCTGCAGGTCATGTCTGAAAATGGCTTTAGTGGGCTCTCAGGTGCTGGTAACTGGATTGTGTTACTGTTGGACTGTCAGGCCAATTGAACCGCTGTTTTCAGTCTTTATACCAATACGTTAACCTGCTGCTGGCTGTAGCTTCATATTTACATACAGACATAAAGGTGGCATCAATCTCTTCAGTCACTCCACCTGACTTGAACAAAAAGTTACATTATTTTGTAATACAGAGAACATGAAAAACAAAACAGATTACTCAACTGAAAAAACAAAGTAAGCCATGTCAGCATCACACAACAGTTAATCAGTTTGGGTGATAGACATCTAAGAATTCAATTTAATCTGCCTGTAGCCACCTCCATCTCCACAAGCCTCCTCCAGCTCCTCCACTATAGCTGAGCCGTTAAACCCTCTGAGTCTGTGTAAAATGCAGTGTATATCCATTCAAGTGTCTATAAATGCTGTATATAGAGCAGTCAATCTGCTGTCACTGCAGGTCGCAGGTCATTTTAAGAACCTCTTCCTCACTTGATGGCAATTTAAGGTGCATTCACACCACAGATGTTGTCCTCCTTTTTGGGGAAATTCAGGTTGTAATAGTCATGCTTTGCTGGAAATTATTTCTTATTTCACCTTTTGTGCCCTAATATCCAGTGTTACTGCGGAATGGTCAATTCAGAGTCCAGCTACAGACTGGAAAGAATAGACTAAATATGTCTGTTTTATTTGAAGCGTTTTCCATTTTCTGGTCTCTTAATTTTTTCTTTTGCCAGCCCATTTCAAGGCTTACAACATTTTTTTCTTCTCATCTCTTTGTATTTATTCTGTCATTATACTGTTGGGTGGCTTGTTGCTGCCATCTAGTGTTATAGATTTACTACTACAACAGGATACACATGACTAGGTCTACACATTTGATTTGATCCATAAATCAACACACAGCAAACACCATATATACAATATATTAGGTTGGAGCACAAACACAGCGTAATGTATGATAACCAAGCATACCTATCGTAAACAGTAAAAGATCATAATTTTGTTCTGGCCTGTCCAGAATCAAGTCAACATCAAAGACTGCTGTGTTACACACACATGTAAGTCATAATTATTATAGATAATAATGAATTGATACATAATACATTGGGTTTCTGGAATTGATGCCTAGAAAACAAAAGAACCAATTGAAACTTTAAAAAAAGGGAATCATGGAATTGTTTTCTGTACTTTTTACTGATTTTTTAAGCAGTAAACTGCTCAATACAAAATCCCACCCCAGCCTATCTTACAAAACCAAAGAAAAAAATTAATGATTTACTTAAAATCAAACCTAAACAGACTGAAATTAGTATGTCAATTAATAAATTAGAACAAAACAAAAACATTGTTTCTGGTCGGCTTTATGTATGTTGGTTACCAGTCATCTGTCCCCATATCACCATCAATCAATCAAACAATCACAGTTTGCTACAAAGGGCTAAACAAGGTGCAACATCATTTGCATTTAACCCTCCATAATAGTAAGAAAAATGAAAGTGACCAAATATTCATAAACAGCTTATCTTTACTATTTAAGATAACCTTTCATGGTGGAAGGTAGTACCAAAGGGTAATGTTTGGCCTGGTGTGCACTTCCGAGCAATGAGCAATGGAGGTAATTTTCATAGAGGGAAAGCCTAATTGAAAAAAACAATGGTGCTTTGTAATCTTTTTTTTTTAATATTTCCCTATTTACCTTAAAAATAAATGTCGAGAATCGGAATATTACAAACCCTGTAGAATGATCGGTTTTCTGAGTGAAGAGACAATCTCTCCACTTTGTTACATATCCCATATGTACAGGGAATTATGTAAGACTTCCTTGCTTGCCTGGCCATGCCCTACCGTTTACCTATAAAACACCGGTGTTGGCATAGAATCAGTTAATAGTTTAGTCAGTTGATGTAGATGAATATTTGATCATTGTAACCATTTATGCTGAATCCCACTAGGACATACAGGCAACATTAACATTTATAATTCAAATTTGGGGATTTTGAGTTTAGTTTAGTTATAAAGCCACTTGGTGCTTATTGTATAAATGAAATAATTAATAAAATAAAAAAGCCTATTTTTGTTCCCAAGGCTCCAGTTAAGATAATAACATTCAGTTCATCTGTGCACCTCAAGATGAAAACTCCACTTCAGCAGGCTGGACAGTTTACACTACACAGTGTCACACATACTGTAAATCTCATTTACATGGTTTTTGCTTCATAACTTGTAACTACTTAAACTTTAGTATTCCTACTTTCTACTACTTTCTTCCTCCCTCTACTTCATGACATTTATGTGACAGCTTTGTTAAAAAACTAAACCTGTGGCTTGTGAAGAAGCAATTTAATTATTTCAGATGTTTAAGTTGTTAAAAGCCTTTTCTCTCTGAAGTTCCCAAATGCTTTAATGATTGATGATGATAATGATTAATGTCCCTGTATATAACTCTCAATAATGTATTTTGCTCCAGCTCCAGCACCTGCTACTTACACTGCTGCTTCAGTATCAATGATCTAATGACGTGTAAGACATGGTTTCTGGGCTTTTACTAATCCTAATTAATTGAAGGGAGTCAGTAGATACCCTCAAAGTATGAAAACAGTCACTCCGTGGATTTTTTCACTCAATCCAATTAAAGAAATATGTCTTTGAAAACAACTAATATCCTACTTCCGAGGTGGTATGATGTCAGTTACTCCTGCACTAGCCCCACCCAGCCAGAGGTAATAGTTTATTTTATCTGACGTGACAGAGCCTTTCAGGAGTGTGTCAGTGTGTGCTCGTCTCGGCTCATTTCACCACAGACTCTAAACCTACAACAACCCCACACTGCGCACCCTGGTTCAAGATCATCAACCCGAAAGAGGATCCTCTTTGTGTTGTGACTGCACAGCGTTCACATTGATTCTGACATCACACAGCCAGTGTCACATTGTGAATGTAAGATCTGATGACTGCAGTGCTTTATTGAACACTCAGTGTTGTCACATAACATTACACCATCTCCATAATAATAAATGTGATAGATAAGCAGAAAAAACTCTCCTGTACCTTATACAACAATAATAATGACATAAATAACCCAACAGAAAAAAATATTAGCTTTAATAATAGGTTAACTGGTCCAATAGCTCTATCTACTGGCTAAACCGGGTATTGAATAAACGATGGCACATGGCACACATGAGAGTTAACTAGGTGCGTCGTAATAAACACAGTATAGAAACAATACTTACTTCGTGCATCCACTTAACACTCGGAGTAGAACAATAAAAACACACTCCAAACAAAAACAACCTTAGTTACAGGCGAAATATAGTGAAAGTCCCCACAGGTGTGTCAAGGTGTAAAAGGGGAGAAAAGAAGAAAAAAACCCGTCAACCCGACTGCCGGCTATGCCGCTCACTGCTCCACTGGGGGTGATTGCGTCACTTCCCTAAAACGCACCTTCAAAATAAAAGCCTTTAATACAATTGTCTTTTCTAAATACTACAATGTGTGATTCTTGCAAGTTCAATTCAATTCAATTCAATTTTATTTCTATAGCGCCAAATCATAATATACATTATCTCAAGGCACTTTACATAGAATGTCAGGACCTTAGAATCAAAATATAGAGAAACCCAACAGTTCCCACAATGAGCAAGCACTTTGGCGAGTGTGGAGAGGAAAAACTCCCTCATTAACAGGGAGAAACCTCTAGCAGAACCCGGCTCAATGTGGGTGGTTGGGGTGAGCAAAGAAAAAGGGGGAAGGAGATGAGAGATGGGTGGGAAAGAGGGGAGAGAAGAGAGAGGGATAGTGGGGAGGGGGAAGTAGGGGAGAGGGGGGGCGAGAAAGACCGGGGACACTTGAGCGCCATCAGGTATCAGATCTGACTAGTTAAAAAGTGAACAACAGTGTAAAGACTATTAATTACTGTGGATAACAGACACATTTGATAGCATAATGAATTACTGTGATATTGTAATTAGTAATAGTAAAAGTTGTTGTCCTGAGGTTCCGGGTTCAGCGATATCTGAAATGAGAGAGAAAAAGAGAGAGAGAGACTATGGGAGTACAAAGTGAAATAGTCATTGACATGTATTAAAATAAATAAATGAATGAATGTGGGGGGGATAGAGAGACAGAGATAAATGGAGAGGTGCTCAGTGGAGGATGGGAGTTCCCCCAGCAGTCTAGGCCTATAGCAGCATAACTAAGTGATGGTTCAGGACTCACCTGATCCAGAACTAACTATAGGCTTTATCAAAAAGGAACATTTTAAGTTTAACTTTAAATGCAGAGATGGTGTCTGCCTCCCGAACCCAGAGTGGGAGCTGGTTCCACAGGAGAGGAGCCTGGTAGCTGAAGGTTCTACCTCCTGTTCTCCTCTTACAGACTCTAGAACCCAGAGTGGGAGCTGGTTCCACAGGAGAGGAGCCTGGTAGCTGAATGCTCTACCTCCTGTTCTACTCTTACAGATTCTTGGAACCACAAGAGAGCCTGTGTTTTGTGAATGAAGTGATCTATTTGGGTAATATGGTGTTATTAGGTCTTTGATATATGGGGCTTGATTATTAAGGGCTTTAAATGTGAGGAGCAGGATCTTGAAATCTATTCTGAATTTTACAGGGAGCCAATGTAGAGAAGCTAAGAAAGGAGTAATATGATATAATATGGAACTGTCAATCAGGGGGACAACTTCCTTAAAAAGTCCAGTTGGGACAGAGTCTAATTGACAAGTTGTTGGTTTACATGATGAAACTAATAACGTCACTTCAGGAAGGTCAATAGAATAAAATTGGTTCAAACATAAATTTGGTTCTATGGTTTCAGGGCCAGGCAATGTTTCTATGTATGTGCTATWCATTCAGTCGCTCTGTTATGTTTTATTTTCTGTAATAAAGTAATTTTCTACTGAAAACAAGTGCCTCAAATTTTTCATTGCATAAATAGAAGTCAACATATCTAAAAAACAGTTGATATATTCATTGTAAATATGCATTTAAATTTCTATACAAATGTTATTATTATGTACGAAATCATTACTAGCTTACTGGTATAGTCTGAGCCTCAAAGGCCCATAGTCAGCGGAATAAATGTGTGCATTTTGCAGAGAGTAGACATTCAAGCACACAGTTTCCATGCCAGGATACAGTTTGTGGGGGACTGAAGCTGCTTCATTTTCCTAAGAATATGATGAGCAGAAACCTGCACCTGTAGAGGAAAAAGCGACATTACTAGTGACATAAAGGCATGAAAACTTATGGTCATGTGTATGTGACGACAATAGGAAAACACCAATTACATAACCACATGATTATAAATGATGAAATCTGCCTTATGTTTTCAACCTTATAAAGCAACTGTGATACATATCAAACTGAGCTTTCAAACCAAACATTATTAAGAACTGAATAAACTATTTCTACCTGCAGCAACGATGTAACTTTATTCCGTACTCTGGACTCTAACTATACTGTAACTCAGGACTGTAACCTAGGTGTACATTGGCTGACTGTCCTTCTACAACTTGAACAAACATGAGGCGGTGTAACTTACCATTCAGAAACATCCTGTTGTAACCGACTCTGAATGTGGGACTGGTCTTCTACAGCTGTATCCAAACATAATAACGTGACTATCAGCTGTGGTCGTCGCCATTCTTGTTTACTAAAGAGTTTGTCAATGCTCCAGGTGCAGTCAGCCAATCAACAAGCTCTATGGTATGTCTCCAACAGGCCTCATAAATAATTAATGAGGCAGGTGAAAACAGCCTGTTCTGCAGCGGCAGACAAAGGCAGAAGAGGGCACCTGGAAATACAAACTGCAGCAGTTTTTTCGACTTTAAACCACTGATACATCATCTTGGGGGTACCAATACCTCAAATGAAACCCCAGGAAGGTGTAAAATATGTGCCCTTTAAAATAATATAATAATTGATCAAATAAGTACTTTTACTTGACAGTTTTAGGTGTAGGGTGCGGTGCCTGGGGTTTGCTTATCCTCCTGGCAAAAGTTAGGGCTAACAGAAGTGCAGTTTTAAGCTGTTCTAGATCAGCAACCCAAATTAGCTCAAGTGCCTCAAAAACTATATCCATGGAGGGACAGAGGGCCTTGTCCCTCTTTAAAAAGAATGGTTGTAACAGAACTTGTGGTCACTTCAGGCACACCAGCCTGCTTAGGTGAGATACCCTACCAGCATTTATAAGTCTCTGTGCAGCTTAACACAAACTGCTTGGATTTCTGCCGCCATCCCTTACAAAGTAATGCTTTTCTTTGCAGATTTACCTGCATCTAACTGGGACTGCAAAAAACAACAATATTTGGCCGCAATGGCATCAGTGCAATGGTCATCCTCCTGGAGTCCAGAGCCATGCCCAAGAAATTTTTCATCGGTGTCATTTGGTAAGGCTGGAACTTGCTCTTCTTGCACTAAGCCAGTCGCCAAGATTATTGGGGCTCTGCTGCTTATGGGTGAAAGAACTGTGTCCATGCGTTGGGTGAATATTCAGGCCTGAACATTCATTCAATGAGACACACTGGCTGTAAAATAGATTCTGTGGTTTAAATAACCACTTACTATAGTAGACTTGAATAAACAACCTTAGTTTTGACACACACTTCCTTGCCAGACTGAATCTATTTTCAAAATATAACACATTCACTATTAATGTATGATATTGTGGCGAATGAGTGTGAGAATGACAAGGCTTGCACAAAGAAATTTCTTCCAACTCTTTACTTGCATTCCACACACAACAGCAAGCTGGTTGATTTATTTATAAAGAACATGAACACTGTTCAAAATGAACAGTGTTCATGTTCACACCAGTATGTAGCCTAAAGTTTTAAGAGGCCAAATTGTGAGATTGTGAAGTTTTGCCCAGTGGATCAATTAAGCTATTGCATGTTTGAGACTGTTAAAATATATTTCAAGGCACATGGTGAATTTCTGGATCTCTTAAAGATAAAGCTTGTATAATGATGTGCAATTCAATATTCTATACCATACAATTCACTTTGTGTGAAGAGGGAGATTGACTGTTTTGCATACCATTGATGACATACTGCCACGAGTGAAACAGCCACATTGACCACATTTGTCACACCCATAGGAGGGTACGTTTTCCCCACTTGGAATCTCCAGTGTAACAGAGATTTTTCAGTAGATGTCAGTCTAGAGTTATTTCTTGGCTTTAAAAGGAAATCCATGTGGATGATATCCTCATCCATTGCAGGGATAAGAGGGAGGGGAAGGAGGGACTACAAGGCTCTTGGAAAGAAAGTGCTGTCTGTGCCAAAAACAGCTGAAGTACCTGATTCACTGCAGTGATGGAGAGAGCATCTGGCCTACCACTCCAAAGTATGCATATGAGCTACAGCCAAGTGCCCTGGCAAGCATATAGTCAGACTGACCATGCACACCAACGGGCTACATGAGCAGCCCACAGATGTGCTGTCTGCCCACTTAGATTGGCTACCAGCCCACAGTCTGCACAGTGACAAAAAGAGCTGAAAATGAACATTCCACCAAAGACACTGAATTATTGCACAAAAGGAAACTGAATACACTGTAGTCTTGCACCAAGTACACTGAATTATTTCACCAACGACATTTAAGTATTGCACCAAAGACACTGAATTATTTCACCAACGTCATTTAATTATTGCACCAAAGACACTGAATTATTTAACCAACGACATTTAAATGTTGCACCAAAGACACTGAATTATTTCACCAACGACATTTAATTATTGCACCAGAGACACTGAGTAATTGTAAAAAAGACATTTGGGTGTTGCACCAAAGATATTGAAGTTTAGCAAGAAAAACACTGAATACATAACTTATTATTAATACTATTATTATTGTATCCATAAAAGGTACAGCTGAACAAATGAACAATTAGCTGCCTCTATCCCACTGATGTAATCTCTTTTTTGGACTTTTTATTAGCTGCTCTCATTTATATTATAGCACATAAAAATATTTGAATGCTTGTGAGAATAATAGTTTTCACTGTTGTTGATACTGTATTCTATGGATGAGTAACTGACATTGTTTTTTTTGCATATTTTTTTCTCTGATTTTGGCTCCATGGGAAGCTTTAACTTGTAGCTTTAACAATTACAAGCTACAAGTTGACGGCTTGAAACGATCTAGTAAAGAGGCTGTAACCAATGTACCCGCCCACCTCTGAAATCATTGTTTCTAACACAGTATAACACAGTGATGCAATTCCCCTGTTGTCACTGGCTGATGCAATGAGGCTGATAAAACTCATGTGGAGAGATGATGGAAGAGAGATATTGTGAATTAATAAAGCTGTACAGGTCTCTTTCTTATAGTTCAACACCCATGTAAACTCCAGTTGGTTAAGAACTTTGGCATCTCCAGCACCATACTGAACTAGATCTCTGAGGTATGATAGCCTGACACTTGTCACATTCATCTCTGTTGTCTCATTTTATCTCTACTACCTGTGCTTTATTCATACACTCCCTGAAATGATCGGCTGCCTGGGTGCAGCTTTTGTATGTTATCCCCATGCAGTCAAGCAAGGTGGCACTGTGGCTGATGTCTTTCCAATTGTTCTATGCATGATTGTGTGTTTTAATTTCAGTAACTATTGCATAATTCATTATGTGTAAGCAGACTGGGAATAACATAAAGCATTTGTTTAAATTTAAATAAACGTGTTTTCGTCATATTTAGGCCTTGTTAGATGATCTTTATGCATAGTGAGAAAAGAAACCGTTGGGTGATGTCAGAGCTGAGCTGATGAATGTGGTGTGTTTGCTTTTCTGATTCTGTTTCTTAGCAAATGGAACAGGTCTCTCTGGCTAGAGTCAAAGCTGAGCACACCCAGCCAGGCTAGAATGTTTGTTTGGTGAATGTTTTCTTGGCTGTTGAGTGTATACACAAAGCATTTTGGCGAGATTTTGGTGCCTTAAATCCTTATTTAATAATGATTATAAGCTTTATTTGTTTGCCACTAAAGAAACATGACAAACAACATAAGATACTTCTAATTCCCACAGAGATTAATTTGTCAATGGTTTTAAAAGCCATAACAGATGCATCACATAATCTCAGCAGATAAATCCCTGTAGAGATGGATGGCTGGATGGATGGATAGATAGATAGATTAATTGATCCATCATAAAAATAATTTAAGTTTTTGGTATTTCAGTCTTCAATAGAGCCAAAACAGAATAAAAAAGCAGCAGCCTAAACCATGAGTACTCACAAGAGGGCAGCATTTAACAGTGGATGAGATGATAGTCCTCTGGGATGTCCTTGTAACTGTATGTATCTGTAGATCAGCTGACATATGGACTGAGTTTAGAGTTTATAAATATAATTACTCACAGGCTTTTCTTCTCAAGTAACCTGTAACAACATCAGATATTTGTTCTTTTTTTTGGCATTTGTTCTGCAGTGGACTATCAAATCACACAATGTATGAATGATGCCCTCCTCACTGTTTTCTAATTTCTACAGTTCCTANTGTGAGTCCACCTCAACCTCATACACAGTCTGTGAGTCCACCTCAACCTCATACACAGTCTGTGAGTCCACCTCAACCTCATACACAGTCTGTGATCTCAACACAGAGTCAGATACCACACAAGAGAAAAGTACAATACAAAATTACAATCCAATACAAGAGTACAATACAATACAAGCATAAAATACAAGAGTACAATAAAATACAAGAGTAAAGTCAAATACAAGAGTCAAATACAATACAAGAGTCAAATAACCCAGAATGAAAATAAAGAGGATTAGTTATTGTAAATAAGAGCCAATGTGAATCATTTGTAAAAACCTTCAGAGAAAGAAGGGATTCAAAGCTAAAGACTTAGTCTGTCTAAGTTCAATGGGTAGAGAGGTTAATAAATTTAACAATGTGCCAGCATCATGTCTTTTCGTCCCATTAACACATCCACCACAGTGCCAGATAAATACATCATTATTAATATGTCCGTGAAGACTCTAATACATATCATACAAGGACAGTTGGAAAGGGTTGTAGATACTGTATTTGATGATGTGGCACTACTCATCCAAGAGCCTTCTTGACTTTATTGTACATTGTTGATACATAAGTAGAAACAATCATTATCTATAGACCTGTCTGGATCAATAAACCCTATCCTTGACACATGGAAGCTGAATGATCAGCCTTTGGTCTGCATGTGAGACAGGCAGGGACTAAGAGGAAGAAAGTACAATATGAACATTTCTTCATTCAAAATCAAATCACATTTCTTAATGCTTTAAGGGCAAAGATATGTTGCCATATGTGCAGTGCCTACAGCTAATATAGAAATTCAGATAACAACCTTCTTTAAAGTAATGACTCTCTTGAATACATTATTTATTAACTAAATTTAGCCATAACAGCTTTTAATAGATGTTTTTTTTCTGTCTGCACAGAAACCATCTAAGTCTGCAGACAGCATTTGCTTTATTTTAGAGCTGAAAAAGATAAATAAATATATGTTTCAAGTTATCTCTGTTAATTTCTCTTCAAAGAGGATATGATGAATCTAATCTGATTCTGACACTTAGTTAGTCTATGTATTTACAAATGGTAACTATACACTATAGTTAAAATTTTCAGTCACCACCTTTGTTGGTAGTATTCTTCATGGAAAAACACAGACGTGTGGGTATATATACGTATATATACTGCTGAACCTCCTGAAGAAAGAAAAATGTTATGAATAAATAGACATTTGTTTTAGTTTGCTACAAGTCATTAAAAAAGGGAAAGTTGTGGAATTTAAAAGGAGGTATTTTATAGCCTATATAGAAAGTCAGGGAATTGAAGCCATATATTCGGTAACATATTGACGTCAATTTGTTTTCTTGCAGTGGAATATTGTTTTCACGTTGATTTTTTTTTTTGCATTAAAGTACATAGGCTATATATTTACAATGCACCGGGTATTTTATGTCTAAGTGAAAATAAAAGAACATATAAGTAATGTATATATGGTTGATATGTAAAGATCTATTTACACATTTATTCATGAATTAACATTGCCATCTCTTGGATCTGCATTTTGAAGCGGTTTTACAATATGTTAAATAAAAAGTGGACAATTTCAAAGAAATCTTGCGTGGTTATTGATTCTGATAGTGGCTCAGTTTTTTTCGTTTAATTGACTGGAATGGATAAAAACAGCCAATCCTGGATGTTTCATGCAGGTAATGAAATGATTTGTCAGTTGATTTTAAAGATATACTCTATGTTACAAATAATCAGCCAATGGTGTCCTCCTATCCGGGTAACGTCGGTAGATGTCCTGCCTTTACTTTGAAAGTCAAACAGGAAGTCTTGTTTAGTTTGACCACGGATAACTTGGTGCACGTCACTCCGGTTTGGGGAGAGTGGTCTGACGCCCAGCCGCGGAGCGACCGGCCGCCTCTCACCCTCCTTCACCCCGCTCAGAAGAACCGCACCGCTCTGCCAATGCGCCCGGCAGCCGCCGTCACTCCCCGCTCCCTCACACCTGTACCCAGGGCTCGTCTCCTCACCGGGGCTTCGCTCTCAACACCTCCCCCCAGCACACACTGGACTTCACTATAAGACCTCAGGTAGCACTCTCACCTCCGTTCTGAATGACGGGCGGTCGGTTCGACTTTGACGATGGTGGCACATACTGCGGAGGCTGGGAGGACGGCAAAGCCCACGGCCACGGTGTGTGCACGGGACCCAAGGGCCAGGGCGAGTACTCTGGCTCCTGGTCCAACGGCTTCGAAGTGGTCGGCGTGTACACCTGGCCCAGCGGGAACGTGTTCCAGGGCTACTGGGCGCAGGGCAAGCGCCATGGACTCGGTGTAGAAACCAAAGGGAGGTGGATTTACCGGGGAGAGTGGACTCACGGGTTCAAAGGCCGGTACGGGGTCCGGCAGAGCCAGAACACACCGGCCAGGTATGAGGGCACCTGGAGTAACGGACTGCAGGATGGGTACGGCGTGGAGACGTACGGTGATGGAGGTGAGAGGGGGACGGGGTCGCTGTTTGGACACATCATAATATTATCCAACCACTTTGGAAAGTTCTCCTGAATGTCTTTGATCCACCTTACGTTGCTGCATCATTATTGTTATGGAAGACAATGTTCAATGCGTTGCTCAATGTAAACACAGGAAACAGCTGTTGTGGAACTATGACTAAAATTAAATTTGGATCACATTCTGACTTAATGGAACACATACCAACACTAGTGACCTGCCTGTTACACACGTCAGTATGAAGTTCGAAATGACTATATGGGAGTTGTGTGAATATATTTGGTAAAAGTGAAAAACCCTTTGAGACAGTCTGGTCTCATACAAATCTAAATATTTGTTATAATGGATAGAATAGAATTATGGAGAACACTGGGTGATTTCAGGAGACATCATTTGTTTATTATCTGATCTGAATATGTGCTAATCGGAGATGCACAATGCACAACAATGCGTTGTGGGACATTTTGATTATACTATAGAGATTGTAGAAGTTGTGACGAGGTATTCAGACAGCACTACATAATAGCAAATACACATGCATATACACATTAAATACATAGTGCACTATGAATAGTGAATGGCAGATTATTAATGAGGCTATGTATTTTCTTCAGCAGACCTAATTGATCGTTGTTCAACAGTTGATTACTTATATTTCTTATAATATATATTACTTATATTTCACACAGAGTCTCAACTTGTTGCAGGAGTTATTTAGTTAAGTTGTATCAGTAGAAGAGCTGGACACCTGAATTATGAATGACTGTAACCACCCTATATCAACAGGTATTGCAATTGTATTTATAATAAAAAATAATTATATTACAATAACCAGAGAATAGCCTGCAAATAATGATACATTAAAGGTGAACCAGCACATTCAATGACACACAATGTGCTGATTCAAAGTGTTTCTAGTTCCAGTTATTGTAACGTTTTAGGAGTTAGTTTCATGTGATGGTTAAACTGGACAAAGTGAGTGACACCAACAGGTGCTCAGCCATGTTCAGGAGGTGGTGGGGCTCAGTTTACCCTGGGAGCTGTGCTATGTCATCATATTTACTCATGATTTATTAGATTTGTAGTAATATCACACATCAGACTTGTGCTTTCTTTACACAGCAGACATTTTTTTTAGGGATTTTTAGTGTTTTTGTTCTGAGTAACTCTGGCAAGATTTGTTAGGAAGCACAAAATGAATAGAAATATAATGTCACCGCATAAACAGCAGAACCTTGAGCTTTTATTTTATTGTTTTCTTGTTCTTTCTTTTATCTTGCTGCCCGATGTTTTTTCTAATGCCCTCAGTCTTCCACTTACAATAGTAGTAGTAACAAGAGTCACTATCTGCAGCAATTTAAGCTGTAGCTCATAGCTGCAGTGATACAAGTGTAATTTTGAATATAATAATAGGAAAATGGAAAACTGAGTTGTAAAGTAAGAGCTGAATTAAAATGAATAATTACTTCCCACTCAAAACTGAGTAAAATCAGTGGTACTCCACATTGCTCAATGAGTTTTCAGTAGTAGGCCTACAACCTATAAATATTTAAAATCATAGTCATAGTCTTCTCCATTCTTCAGTGTCTTCAGCGTCAGGGGTGAGTTGTGTTTTTGTAGAGTAGACAGAATAATACTTACCAATGTGTCTTCAGCACAGAGTATAGCAAACTGTTCACATGGTTAGATTATTTCTGTTTAATGACTTGTTTTTTAATTAATCAGACCCAACTGTAAAAAAAAAGCAATATTGAATGCTGATGCTGTTGAGAAGTCTGGCTCATTTAGTCAAAAGTATAAATGTGTGTTGAGAGTCAGTAGCCATTTTATAAAAGAGCGGGCAATCCCAAGTATTTTTTTGTTGCTGATGACAGTGTAAAGAAGTGGAAGCTGGGATGTATCAATTCAGAACTACGTGTTTATGAGACGACTAGACAAAAAGAATTGAAGTTTACTGTATGAACAAACATTTTTGCCAAAAGGAACATAAAGTGAAGTTTGTCTAGCACACCCATGATCAGGTACCTAACTTTGGAAGGTGGCGAGGGTAAAAAAAGAAAGAAACCGTAGCCCGTTTTAGCTTTCTTTATTGTGCTAATTGTGTTAGCATCTACAAATCTCTTCTTTGCCTAACATGTTTCATCAGGTGAGTGCTAAGCTTTGTTATACCTCAGTCTTTGTTTACGTGTGTCTGACATGAGTTCCTCATCTTTATGGACGTTCCTGTTAAATTTGAAGCCAGACTGAAAGCTTACCAGACTTGCCAGACTAATGTGTTACATAAAGCACTATTATACTTGAATGTCAACTGTAGAATTAGAATATAAGTTTACTTCTGCATTCCATTTTGTATGTTATAACACATCTTTTTTCAATCCTTTTACTTGAGTAAAAACCTGTGCTCTCATTTTCACATATTATATTTGTGTTCTTCCTTCTCTAACAAGAAAAGGGTGTGTGGAGCTACTTTTACTCACTGCTGGTTATATGAAACCATTAGGGGCCCCTCTCTCTCCCACTCTCTCTATCTTTAGTTCTGCCCTGCACCTTGATGTGGCAAGAATTGATCAATCTCACTGTCAAATTGTTCTTAGCAAGTGCATCATCATTTTAAAATCAGGCCTTTGTAAGACTTTGTTGATCATTGCTTCCACTGGTCATTTAAAAGTGCAGATGCGGATTTCCAGGTAATGTGTTAAGTACAGCAAAGTTACATTAGGTTCAGTGACTCTTTTTCAGTTCATTAGCAGGCGTTAATAGGAGTGACACACAGCATCTACTGTATGTATACAGTCATGGAATTTTTCATCAAACAGAATGTAAACTCATGACTAACACCCTCTCTGGCTGTGGTCACTTGCCTGTAAGGAAGTACAGCAGCCTGGTGTCACATAAAGGCAGAAGAACCAAACCAAATGACCTTGACTACAAGAGCTTATGCCATCAATTCAGCCTCTTTTATTTTAAAATTGTATTTGAATAGCCTCAAGGTGTGATATCCTCTGCTCTTAACCCTCAACAAAAGTAAAGAAAAGCTAGCAAAAATTCAGTCAGACTCACATGTGAGGGATCCCTCTCGCAGGAAGGACAGATGTGCAATAAATGCTGTGTGGAGCAGATCACATAAACAAAATAACAATATTGATAACATTTATGAGAAAACAAAGTGTCTAAATAAATGGAGAGGTTTTTCAATTTTTTAAGTATCTATGCAAAAGAAAATGTCAGACAGAGTAGCAATGACAATTGCTACTCATGATAGTGGTATTGCCAGTAATGGTAGTATATGTGAGTAGGAATAATGTACAAGCAAACAAGTTGTAATAATAAGCCACGATCAGCTCCCTCCACAACCACAATCCCGCCACAGAAGCAATCCTGGATCCACAATTATACTGCACGAGGACTCTATATTGTTATTTTGTAGTAAGAAGTCAAGTCAGTAACATTTATTGATGAGACTTTAATATTATGAATAGAGAGAGGAGGAAAGAGAAGCTCCATGTGTTATGGGTCCCCCGACAGTCTAGACTAGTGGTCACCAACCTTTTTTGAGACCAAGATCACTTTTTAATTCTAAGCGTAAGCAGAGATCTACTACCCTTATATCTTCCAAAAAAAACAGGATCATATTTATTGTTTTTTGCAATTTCTGTTAAAGGCTCAATGTACGAGCATAAATAAACACAAAGAAAGGCAGTCATGCAACTTTATCTATTCAATGCACAATATTCACATTAAATTCAACGTCTGTTCATTTACATTTAAGTTCAACAATATGTTATGCAGAGGAGCTGCTATTGCAGCACAATGTGTTTGCATAGGCTTTGCCTTGAATATGGNAACATTATTACCAGCACTATATAAACCCCCTTTTTAAACAAAAGAATGGATTTGGTTAACAGAAACACTGGAGTGCTTTTATTTTGAAATGCATACAGAAAGTGTTGACTACCACTGATCTAGACCTATAGCAGCATAACTAAGAGCTGGTCCATGGCAGACCTGAGCCAGTCCGAACTATAAGCTTCATCAAAAAGGAAGGTTTTAAGCCTACTCTTAAACGTAGAGAGGGTCTGTCTCCCGAACAACAAGGACAGGGATCACTTACACCCCAAGGTATCACAGATGCCATCTACACTGGGCTTAAGTAAGTCTGGACTTAGCCAGCTTTATTGGCTACTTGAGTGGAGGAGTCATTGCAAGTAAACATGCCATCAAGCAGTATGTTACTATATTTACCAAGGACACCACGAAGTAAATAAATTTGACCCATAGTACTGTAATTTTCCACAATTTATTTTTTTTTCCAGAGGCTATTCGAATGTCTTAGGTCTGCTACTGTGAAGACAGATTATTCCACAAGGCAAGATAGCTGCTCCAGTTATGTTTAGCCAGTGGCACCCAACCGACTTCCCAGTGTCTCAAGTTACTTCCATCTTTTAAAATAGCACATTCTCACATTCTCCAGCTGAATGCATCTGGGCAAGAGGCTGAACTCTCCTAACCAGACCACGGAGCTGTTTCTCAAAATACCTTTCGGACTCAGACACACTTGGACAAATGTACAGGTGTGTGGCTCCGGCTGTGCTCTTACTGATTTAGTCACTGAAGTAGGTTCACTTTAGTATAATTTCATAGCATTAACTCATGTACATGATCACCCCATTAAAGTCTTTACGGCTTTTGTAATGAATTAAAATATTGACTACATGGCCACTAGTATCACTTTGGGATGACAAACATTACAGGCTCCATTGGTCATGTGACAGGAATACGGTAAAGTATAGCACATGTGGAAGACCTAGGGAATGGCAGCACCTTACATGAACTTCTGACCCCCCCCCCCGACAAATAAAAAAAAAAAAAACTCTAGTAATTCTACATAAATATCTAGTGGTAACTACAAGTAATCGAAGTTTCAATACAACCTTGAGTTAAAAGGGAAAATAGAGGCTTGAGATGCATAATGAACGAGGCAAA